GTTCACCACCAATGCCATTTTGATTGTTTGGAAAAATAACAATGGTCATCCTAAATTTTAAAACATTATTATTCAACTATGCTTGTTTTCTCTAATTATAGTTTGCGAGACATGGATTGGTCTTACGGATGATATAAATATTAGTGTCTTTAATGGTATGAACATCAACTTGTTTTCCCCTACCCCCCTCCCCGCCCCAAACAAAAATAGGCAAAACTCATAATTCTACATGAGGCATTTTCTCATATCATTAGTTACTTCCTCCTCATCCTGAATCTTGAGACTAGCTTAGCGCTAGGTGCAACGGTCGGTTCCCTTGGGTTTGTCTCCAGATTATGGGCGTGCTCCACAATCGAACCAGTAAAAGCCTGCATGACATTAACAAATCGACATCAAGAATTAAACTACATCATCATTTAACATACAGCAGATGCATGAAAAACCATCACCCCATGGATACATGCCTTGCTACTATTGGTACTTGGTTCTGTTGTCTCAAGAAAACCCTGTAGGGAAAGAAAAGAAGCACATATTAACTACAAGAAACCCACAAAACAAAGAATCACAAAGGTGAACTCTCTCCTCGGCAAGTCAACAGCAAATAATGTTGTGTAGTCACTTTTATTTGGCTGTCCTATTTTGCATGCCTACTCCTCTACCCCTTCTTATGCAAAGGAAGGAAAAGAGCATTAACATGATAAGATGCACCACCAAAAAATTTCATCAAAGGGTGACAAGGAACAATAATGGTACCACATCCTTTATTTCAGGAAGCTCCAAAGCCTTGAGGTCCACCATGTGATGAATCATCTGAAAGAAGGAAATGGCAACAAAGACGAATTGAAAATATTATTATCAGGAGTATAAGTCTACAAACAGCAGTTGGCAATTCAGAGGATCACAAGGATAACAAACAGACAGAAAATACTCAGAATCTACACTTGTGAGCAGATGTAGAATAATGCAAAGTGAATTAAATTATTTAGTAAAACATAGTTGAGTGTAAACCCATACCCATACTCAAGAGACATACCCTTTGATAATCTTGTAATTCAAACAACACATATGCACAAAACACACCTTGATGCACAGATATCACCTTTGAACCATACACATGTTTATCACAGTTGCAAATTGTCAAAAACAAAAACTCACACATCCCATTAAATTTTGTCTAGCAAGAACATTGCAATGACGAAACCCAAAAATAGACACGTTTGTCTACGTGTGGGCTTGAGAGCATGGTTCAAGGTTGTGGTCACGGTTATGGTTGCGGGTTGGACCGTTCCACATCGGTCTCGGCATATTGGTCACGGTTTTAACGAGACGCAAATTTTTGAATTATTTAATATTCTAAAAATTGTAAAAAATGTGATAAACAAAATAATTAAAAAATTAGTAAAAATAATAAAAATTCGAGTCAACTCGAGGTGACTTGGAGTGATTCAGTGTGATTTGATCGTTTCAACTCTTCACGGTGACGTCTCGACGAGTCAAATATCTCTGAATCATATCGTCCTGATATCGTATCGGGAGGGCCGAGACGGTGACGATTCGGCCGAGTCTTTGAACCATGCTTGAAAGAGAGAGAGAGAGAGAGAGAGAGAGAGAGAGGACATGGTTCCTTCCAACTAATGCTTTGGATAGTCTTCCTAGAATGATCTGTGAAGTGACTTCACTACACGAAACTACTTGTAGACAATGAAATTTTAATTAAATTCTAAAAATTAACATTGGTCTATAAATTATTTTTATGGCCTATTTTTATCCAATTGGATATTGCCATATGTCATGTACACTAGGAAAAATTAGTTATTAAATGGCCAATTATATTTCGCCACGTGTCAAGTTGAGGTGTTCCAAATCAATTCAATTGCAAGGATATCTCCATCACCCAATATGACTTGACAGAATTTTGGATATATACCTAAATACTTATTGTGATGCCTTGAAAAAAAAAATGGCCAGAAGTTTTTTTTTTATAGAATCCGGCTGTATATCCGGCCAGTTCTTAGCCAGATACTTGGCCGGATTGGCTTGGTCATTTGAAAAAAAAAATTGACCTAGATACTGTCTTGAATCTGGCCTCCTATCCGGTCGGATATCCTGCCAGATTCTAGCTGGATTCTGTCGTGTACAGCTTTCCTTAATGATTAAGTCTTCACTTTTGACCATATTTAGAGTTCAAAACTCACTTTCCTTTCTTCACCAACACTGACCGAGCTTCTTGGGGGGAAAAACCAAGAGAGGAAACTCCATTTTCCTTTGATTTCATTCATCAAATATTGAGTTTCAACCATTGAATCATCAAATTACTCCATCAAAGTTGCTTGCTAAGGAGGATTAAAGGATTGAGTGGAGTGATTTTGGAGGGGCAAGCTCTAAGCTACCATTTTTTTGGGGTTTCAAAGTATTTTGCTAAGAAAGTTTCCCTTTGCTTTTAATAGTTGTCAATTAGTGGTTTAAAGTTGTAGTTTTGGTAGTTTTATGAGCATATTTCATAGTTTGAAGTAGTATTATGAAAATTTCAGTTTTATGGTTATTTTTCTGTCCTCATGTGATGAGTTGTGGCTGGCCATGGTTGGATAGCTTTGGTATGAGATATATTGAGGTTTTATAAGTTAGTTTAAGTTGCTTAAAGGAATTTTCCAGCTTATGTGCAATTCCAGCTTAGGGTTAGTAATCTGCTCTATTTTTGTACTACATGTTTGTCCTTGAGAGAGACCGAATTATCCTTTACTACATGAAAGTTGTAGGTATATGAGTTAGCTATCTACCTGCACAATTTCAGATCGATTGGAGTACTGTAGCCTATGCAATGACCGAAATACCCTTGACTGCCCTTAAACCCTGTTTCACAGACAGTTTTCATTTTTCTCTAAGATGTCGATTTCTTGTTCATGAAAATGTATGATTTGGCTTAGAGGTCTTCATAAGAAATGCTGGTATATGTCTTAGCTTCGTAACGCCCTAAGATTTGTTTCAATCGGACAAGTGTAGCTTCAATTGTGATTAAAATGCCAAAAGGTGATAGGAATTGATGCTTTTAGAATTCTCTTTTGTTTGACATGATATTTGTGATCTAAGATTTGGACTTGAACAAGGCAATGATATATGATGGATGAGGTTTATGAGCCGTGGTTGGTGAGTGATTCTCAAACTATTTCCAAAATTACTTATGAACTGTTCTTACACTGTTTACTCGATTGCATATTATGAGTGCTTGCATGTGTACCATGAAATGTTTTGGCTCAAATGAGTACTTGGAATTCGTGTGCTTAGAACTAACATTTCCACCACTGTTCACCTGGAGCATTGATGGCTTCCTTGTACTGTTTGATTTCCTGGATCTGTTTGAGCGTTGGAGTTCTAAGTACGAGGATTTCACTGGCTCACAAGACCAATAAACTTTCATTTGATCACTGAATCATGCCATCATCTAAATGCATTATTGTGAAATGTACTTTATTCTTGATTTTACTGGTCACTCACTGAGCTTGTAACTCACCCCAAAATATTTTGCCCTCCACAGGGCTCGAGGCCAAAGGAAGCGCTTGTAATGAGTTGTTAGTGTGTCTGAAGAGATATCTCATGTGTATTTTGCTTATTATACTTATTGACGACTGGATGTAATGTGTGCCTGGATGAAATATCTCTTGTACAGGTTGAATTCGGACTCCTCTTGTGTAATAGTAGGGTTTGTATGAAAGTTTGGAATTGAAACGAGTGTATGTGTGCGTTCCACGCTTACGATATGTAAATTTGTGGAGTATTTGATGTAATATTGAAGATGTGTATTGTAATTTATTTGAGAACTATAGTGACTGAGTGAGTCCCAGCGAGAACTTGGCAGGTCGTCTGCCGAACCCTTTGGTTCCCCTTAAAGGGAGGTGGGGCTGTCACACTTATTTCTTATTAAAGAGATAATATTTAGAGTTGTTTAATCCATATATATTTCTTATATACTGCAATAGCTTGTCCAGTCAAACGGCGCCACATCACGTGTCCCCAAGAGTTTGGCCAATCGAGGAATTACTTATCTCTTTATTAATAAATATAAAATGAAGAGATAATATTTAACTGGCACAGTCCTAATATGACTGCACGTCTTGCAAGACAAGTAGAGTGGTATATATGTTTTCAACCTCTACCTCATACTAGAACTATAAATAGGAGTCTCTCTACCAGGTCAAGGGACACACCAAGAGGTATCTCATACGCACAAGTATTGAAACTCCAAGTTACGAAGGTCTAGGTCTTCAAGCTCTTCAAGTCTTCCATATATCAAAGCTTGAGCCTTCAAATATTTTCAAGTTCTTCAAATCTTCCATATCAAGATTTGAAGGAGTCGGTGGTTGATCCAAGAACAAGCTGTGAAGCCCTTGGATTGGCGTTTGAGGAGAAGAATCGAAGGAAACTCTCTATAAGTTCGAGAAAATCTCAGAGGTTGTACCCACATATTTTTCTAAATTTATATATTACATATATGCCGTGTATTTCTTTTTTCTTGTGATTTTACAGACTTGAAATTTTGGCACGCCCGGTGGGACCATCTCTGCCTTCCATCTTTTATCTTCGGATATTCAACTATATATATCACCAATGGCACCAAAGAGCAACAAGACCATGGTTGCACGTTCCAAAACTACTAACGCTAAACCTGTACAGGAAACTGCACATGTTACCACCAATATCCGTGCTATTGATCCTGTGACAAGGAGTATGACGAGAACTTCCATCCAAAGTAGCATGGAAGCTCCATCGGCGTCAACTCCGGTTTTTGGTTCAATATCACCAATGAGCTATTCTTCCATGGTGGGGATCAAAGACGTTCCTACTGCGATTAAGAAGACTCTTGCATGCTCGAATTTGGATCCGGATCCAAATTTTCTAATCATGATGATTCATCAAGCACTGGATCAGTCTCTTCACATGAAACTCTTCAATCAAGGTTTTCTATTGAAGATTCTGCTACTTCTTCTGCTACAATGCCTGTTATGATGACAAATACTTTAAGTTTTGAAGAACAAGTTTCGAACATATCCAAGATGATGGAGACCATGATGAAACACATCAAGGACCAAGATGCTCTTATCGCTCAACTGCTCACCCAAAAAAATCACGCTCCTGAAGGAAGCCACATGAAGTTTAAGGAGCACCAAGAGCATGAAATTCTCTCATCTAAAAGCAAGGACAAGATGAAGGAAGTATATGTGACCGCCGAGAGAACTATCCCCGTAGAACAACTGAAGAAACTTGTAGAAGACGTGATTAAAGAAAAAAAGGAGGGTAACTCAAAATCAAGCTTCACTTACTCCAAACCTTACACTGCTAGAATTGACAGCCTAGCAATGCGTGTTGGATATCAACCGCCTAAGTTTCAACAGTTCGATGGAAAAGGCAGTCCAAAACAACATGTAGCCTATTTTATCGAGACCTGCAATAATGCTGGAACCTATAGTAACCTGCTAGTCAAACAGTTTATTCGGTCCTTGAAGAGCAATGCATTTGATTGGTACACCGATCTCACACCGGGGTCCATCGATAATTGGGAACAGTTGGAGCAAGAGTTCTTGAATCACTTCTACAGCACTGGAAGAACTATTAGTATGTTGGAATTGACTAATACTCGTCAATGGAAGGATGAACCTGTGGTCAACTACATCGATAGATGGAGAAGTCTGAGTCTTAACTAGAAAGATAGACTGTCTGAACCCTCTGCCATAGAAATGTGTATTCGAGGAATGCATTGGAACTTAAGTTATATTTTACAAGGTATACGTCCAAACACATTTGAAGAATTAACTACTCGTACTCATGATATGCAATTAAGTATCATGGCCAATACAACTGATGGATTGCCCATTCAAGCTCCGCGAGTGCAATTGTCTCGTCAAAATAATGAAAGACAAGAAAATAAAAAAGGACGCAAGTTTCCTTCAAGACTTAGTAATAAAGAGTCCATAACAATAAACACGGCACTCATGAAGATTGCTACTAAGGTGAGTTGAAAGGTTACCAAAAAGTTAGACTCCTTCCAAAATAAGTCGATAAGAAGACCCACTCTAAAAGAAATGCAAGAAAAGGAATACCCCTTCCTTAAATCTGATTTACAGGGGGATGTTTAATGACCTTTTCAAGGAGAAACTCCTTGAACTTTCCGACATGAAACTCCCAGAGGTCACCAAAAAGTTAGACTCCCTCCAAAATAAGTCGATAAGAAGACCCACTCTAAAAGAAATGCAAAAAAAGGAATACCCCTTCCTTGAATCTGATTTACAGGGGATGTTTAATGACCTTTTCAAGGAGAAACTCTTTGAACTTTCCAACATGAAGCTCCCAGAGGAAGCCGGCCAAGTCAATTGTAACGACCCTACCTCCCCCTAAGGCGTACCAGAGGGTTCGGCGGGCCGCCTGCCCAACTCTCGCCGGGACTCAGTCGTTCTTTAATCAAATCCAGAACAAATCACAAGAATAAATAGGGCAGCAATCCAAATTTAAAGTGGAACTTATATACATCGCTATCTCAAAAGGAAGTACAACCATCAAATGTACAAAGGTTCTCATTTCACCATACAACTAGCCCGTGCCAAGCACTAGGGCGAGAACCATTACAAAAGAAACAAAAGACCTAGACTAGACTAGTCTATGCTCTCATCCTGCTCGCCGTCCCCTGTTAAGGAAAACAAAACTAAAGGGGTGAGCTAAAAGCTCAGTGAGGTTCCAAACAGATAATCAAACAATCAAACAATCAATTCAATACATTAAACATGGAGTATCAATAATTCAAGAAACATTTACAATGGAAAGTAATAGTAACATTCATTAAAAGGATACGGCTCACAAGGAGCAATTCGTTCATTCGTTCATTCGTTCTCCTGACATTTTCCCTTATTCCTCCAATCATTTGAAAATGCATTTTTCGTTTATCAATAAACCCTCGTTCATTCGTTCGTTCGTTCATTCATTCATTCACCCCCGTCCTGGCCGTTGGCCAGTCTCCACCAACTTACAGGGTAATACTCAAGTATACCAAACGTTCACCCAAGTCCGTAATCGCCCGACCGAATCCGCTTCTGACTCGAGACGACCGGTAACAAGGGGCAATGGACAGTTCAGCCCAAAAGGCTTACATTCATGCGCAAGTAACATTTCAATCATTAAATCCTTGAAAATTGCACAGTTATTTAGGTCGAGTGCGATAAAGTACACACTCGCCTAGAAAGCAATTCGTTCATTCGTTCATTCGTTCATACAACAAATTGGGTAGAAATTCATCAAGCCCTAGTTCATCATATAAATTGGGGAAAACTTCCAAATTCATCACACCCACTTGCATAATCATGAAATCAAGCCAAAACTTAAGCTAAAACACATCTTAAACCAAGATTCAAAGCAACAAAGATCATGATCAAATGTTGGTACCTCAAAAGCAAGGCTTGGTAGAGTGATCCTTCACCCCCTTTGATATTTCTTGGTTCTTCAAGCTTCCCAACTCACACTTAGTACTTTAATCGGTTTAGAATTGGATTTCTTACTTGGGTTGAAGCAAATCAAGAAGGAAATTTTGTTTATCTTGCTCTCCTTTTCTCTCTCCCTTAGCTCAGCACTTAGCAAAAAAAAATGAGGGAAGATGGAGCTTAGTTATCTTATAGGAAGACAAGAAGATTAGAGCTAATTGTGACCACAATTTTTGACCAACACTTGGCCTAATCTTGACCACAAAATTTTTCTCTTTCTTTCCCTTGCATATGAGCCACAATTTCGGTCAAGCTTGCTGCCAAGAGAGAAGATATTTTGCTCAAGTTCAATAAATTTGTTTGGTGAGAAAAATGGTGGTCAAGTGGTGCGTTCAATCGGTAGTGCGCGGGACCCGCCGGTTCGCGCCGTTTTTCTTAAAAACTCACGTACTAGGGTTTTTACTTCCCATTCACTAACCTTATATCATTGCTACCAATCACATATTATTTCTCACTTAAAAGTCACTTTTAATCCTCAAATTTAATCCTTACTCTGTACCGAAAATTCATCCGGCGAAAAATCGCGAAAACCCTAATTTTGCTCCAAACTTGAAACCGAAGCGTAAAACCCTATTTTCTAGGTTTACTTACACTTATTGTGAAATAATTGGGTAGTGGGCTTTGATAAATAATAATTTTCAAATAAAAGGGTATTTTTGAGAAAAATACAAGAAATTTGCGAGTCCTCACATTCTCTCCCCCTTAAAAAAATTTCGTCCTCGAAATTTTACCTTCAGTTGCTTCAGACGAGTCTGGAACTTGTCGGTTGTCTAAAGCATAAACCTTTGCCGGTCCGCTAGTTCGTTTCCCTCCTTCATTCACTTGTGATTTAGCTCCATCCAATTGCAGAGTATTGCTTTCACGTGACTGTCTCCTCGGACAGTTGCTAACTTGATGATCGCCACTTCCGCAGATTAAACATTTCCGCCCCTTTCTCCAACAATCGCTTTCGACATGATTTGCCTTTCCACAGTACCCACAGACCACGTGAGAAGCCATCTTTTGGCTTTCTTGAAAACTTTTCCCAAATCTGATTTGGCTTTCTTTTGTAGATCCTTCACCTATCGCCCCTAATGTCCATGGTGGGTGGGACAAAAAGTTCACTTTTTGCACTTTGGAAGGGACTCTCGCTTCACTTAATTCCTCCGCTACACTACTCGATGCACTCCTTTTCTGGGTCTGGGAAGCTTTTATCTGTGCCTTTGCAGTCTCGATTCTTTGAGTTTTCTCAAGGGCCTCCGTAAACGTATTCACTTGTACTGCCGCTAATGCTTCTTGGAGTTCCAAATTTAATCCCTGTATAAACCGTCTTACTCTTCGCCGCTCTGTGGCCACCAATTCAGAAGCAAACTTGGATAGTTTCGTAAATTTTGTTTCATATTCGGCCACACTTAGTGTTCCCTGGCGTAGTCCAATAAACTCTTCCTCTCTCCTCTCTTGAACTAAAGGAGGGAGGTATTTCTCGTTAAATTCCCTTATGAAATTCGTCCATGTCCATACGGTCTGTTCTCTTTCCCATTTTGCTTTAATAACGTTCCACCACGCTCGGACCGATCCTTCAAATTGGAACACCGCAAAATTTACTTGTCTTTGCTCGGTGTAGTTTAAGACGGTGAAAATATTAATCATGGCCTCTAACTATTGTTCGGCTATTTCCGGATCAGATCCTCCAAGAAATTTCGGAGGAGTAAACTTCTGAAACCTCTCAAGAGCCTTATCTTCTCCGATTTCAGGGTTCCGGGGTTGATTCACGGCCATTTGGCCTTGTTGATCCACTAGTCTTGCCAAGATATCTGTCATTTGTTGCATTACCGTTGCTATTGGGTCTTCGGCTTCAACCCTCGTTCCTTGCTCTTGTGCAGATGTTGTTTCTCTTTCTTCTCTTGACTCTTGAGCTCGTTCATTCCCACGGCCACGTCCATGTCCACAGCTACGTCTCCCATCCATATATATGTTTTCCCTCTCTTTTCTTTTCCCCCAAAAGGTAATTTAGTAAATCAACACGATAAGGTTACTAAAGTAACTATTGAGGGCACCAAATATTCAAATAAACATATACCCATATAACACGCCATACCAAGATGACGGATAAGCAAATACACAAATACATATCAAGTTGGACAGATAACCATGTACATACAGGTATACTAACGTCATGTAGTAACAATATACAGGTATATCAAAAGGAAAAGGTGAAGTCGTCCCAGTATCAGCCCGTCCGGTCTCTCACGTCACTTACTATCCCAACTAGATGTCCCTGATCTCTTGTGCTCATTCTAGTCAGACAAAGCCTGTTCATGTTCCCAAAATGTAAGTCTCAAGTATTTAGCAGCACCTCAACTATAGAGTACTCAGGCACGAGAATCCGAAATAAGATAATTCATATCTCGAGTTGCAGTCCCAAGAGTAAACTATCTACAATCGGAATTCCTACCTGACATACCTATCTATGGTCCTCAGATACCATTAGAAAGATTTAAGGCCTATAACATTCACAATTCATAGCTTCACTTAGTCCCTCATACTTATTCACCACTTAGTCCAGGGTCACTCCACGTAGAAACCACGCGAAGCAACTATAAATTTTATCCCTCAATCGCTTAACTTTCAAGTCCAATCAAATCCCACAGTCCGGTATCCTAATCTTTAATTTAGGATACACTACAGAGATCTGAAACCTAAGCTCTGATACCACTTGTAACGACCCCACCTCCCCCTAAGGCGTACCAGAGGGTTCGGCGGGCCGCCTGCCCAGCTCTCGCCGGGACTCAGTCGTTCTTTAATCAAATCCAGAACAAATCACAAGAATAAATAGGGCAGCAATCCAAACTTAAAGTGGAACTTATATACATCGCTATCTCAAAAGGAAGTACAACCATCAAATGTACAAAGCTTCTCACTTCACCATACAACTAGCCCGTGCCAAGCACTAGGGCGAGAACCATTACAAAAGAAACAAAAGACCTAGACTAGGCTAGTCTATGCTCTCATCCTGCTCGCCGTCCCCTGTTAAGGAAAACAAAACTAAAGGGGTGAGCTAAAAGCTCAGTGAGATTCCAAACAGATAATCAAACAATCAAACAATCAATTCAATACATTAAACATGGAGTATCAATAATTTAAGAAACATTTACAATGGAAAGCAATAGTAACATTCATTAAAAGGATACGGCTCA